GCTCTTAAATTATGATGGCAGAGGGTATCTAGCTACCCCTTATTTCACAATACCATGAATAGTGAAGAGCATGCCATGAGTTTAACCAGATCAGGAAGAATTGGAGATACACCAGGTGACATGTCAAGTTTTATTTGGTTTGTCCTCTGGTACATTGTCTCTCAGAAAACAGTGAAAGCAGAATGTTCACTTCAAGTTCCTCTTTGCTTCAAACGCCTAATTCTCATGGGAATATGATTAAGAAGATACCAGGAAATACTACAAGGAATTACTCTAAATAAATAAAAGCTTTTATTACTAAAGTTCTTACTTAACCTAGGCATGGGAATCATAGTTACAAAAAGAGAACAATATCTCAAAGTACATCGGTTGCAGACAATCAAGCTTGTTCAACAAAAAAATGGATGGCACACTAAATTCCAATAAATTTTAGAGATGTGTAAGAAATAATATAGACCTGTGAAAAATATCCCTGGAATGCAGACGCATACAACGGTTGCAAATCAACACCATAATAATTTTGTTGCTGCCAGAAGAGGGCCTGTATATATACAAAACAAAAACAATAATGTACATTTCTTCTAAAGAACAAAGGTAGGAAACTGATTACACTAAAAGTTTATAACAGCAATCTAATAAACTGCACTAGACATGGCTGGTAGGTTAGAACTTCCTGAATGGTCATCCATTATGTTATTCTATATATAAATAAACAGGACATGATGATGGCATACGCACCTTATTTGCAATTTCAACAAACAAATATTCATCACTGAAAGGTGCCATGTGTATCCTGAAGAAGTAATCAATTTGAACTGATGAGAAAAAAATTAATAGACAACCTTTTTAAATAGGTAATAATACTAATGGTTATGAAACTTTTACAGTAAATTTGAATGCAAATACACTAGGACCACAAGCAAATGAAATGAAAGAATCTAATATTGCATCAGCATCATCCAACCACTCAAGGGTAAAATAACATGACCAGGCAACATAAGTATGTTTAATAACAGTATATTTTATCAAAATTTATATATTTAATTTTCAGCTACACCAAGGTTGATATTTTAATGTAGGTAGGTGAGTCCGAATAAAAGACCATGTAAATGTATACACATATAAACAACTCTAATTTAGGCAGGACCAGTCAATTTTACTGGCTCATGGTGGCATTTGAGTCTAATATATAAGCTGTTCAAAAGTACAGGTCATATATGAGAATCAAGAAGCAAAAATTTTTCAAGGAGTGTCCAGGATACAGATAGAATAATGTCAACAAGAGCTACTCGAAAACAAAACGCAGGAGGAATTGAAAAATCATTTTACCTTCCTAGTGTAGGGAACATTTTTCCATTTGGCTGAAGAAACCGATCTCTTGCAATGACATAGGTCTCCAGCATTCTTTCATTAATTAACAAGGTGCCTAAAGCCATGCCAAAGAAAATCTTGTGTTAGATTTACCTCAATAATAAAAATTTAAAAATAAAAAATAAGGATCACAGAACATGCTATTCTGATCTTCCAAATATGTTTCAAATTTCTGCCAAGGCTGATGTTGCACAAATAGAGTAATTATAGAGATGAAAAAAATACGTGTTTAACATCAAGAAGAGCAGGGAAACATGCTCTTGAATTGGCTAAAGCAAATATATAAACACTTACCCATTGGCTCCGAGATAAGAATATCTGCTTTCTCAGGCAATTCAACCTCCTCAACTTTACCTTTGATTACCTATAATGTAGATGACATATGGTCCCATATGAGGACAAGAATAATGAGAGGAAACGACAAAAAAGTTAAGAAATGACATAAAGAAGTCTCACTGTTATCCTTTGACCCAGTGAAGGGTTCCCTGCAATTAGCTTGCGAGCATATTCTGCCATTTCAGATGCTTCCACAGCATAAACATGCTTAGCACCAGCCTATAGGGAGCATAAAAGAAATAAATGATCATTAGAAGAAACAAAAATGAAGATGTATGCCAGAACCAAATATGCAAGATTATGAAACATAAACTTAATTGATCAAAGAGCAGAGTATACCTGAGCAGCAAATAACGACAAAATACCACTACCAGCACCAACATCAACCACCACACGACCCGTAAAATCCACACGATTTTCTATTACTGCAGCATAATAGGTTCCTGAGGAAGGATAAATAGATCATCATTAACACCCGTAAGAGCTACTCATAACATTTTTTACTGGAAACTAATAAAAGCTTGGTATAAATTTATGTGTGATGCCCCTGAACCCTACATATCGAAATAACTGCCTTGTAATCCCTAGGTTTGGATTTTGAAGCTCAAGAAAACTAAATAACTCCAAAATCAAAGAAACATAAGATGGAAAATGAGCACAGAAATTTTAGCTAAGTGGACTAACCTGTCCTAACATAATCCTGCAACATGTTCTGTTGATGTAGCAATTGTCCATAGTAGTGGAAATACATTTTAGCAGAAGATGGCTCTATTTTATCGTCAAACTTGCTTTTGGAAGATGATATTTCTCCATTTGGTAGTTTCTTTCCTGAAAGGGTAAACAAAGGAGTCGTCATTGACAGGCATGTAATACTGTAAAAGAGCAATAGAAAACAACTTCTAGGAACAGGACAAAATTAACTCCATCAAAGTACAGAATAACTAGTGAGACAAATTGAAACCAAATTACAAAAGAATAACTACGGTTCTGCATCTGCGATGAGCATTCATCTAGTACCTTCTTGGGTCAATTTATAAACAAAAGAATTATGTTAAAGCACAGATAAGTAAACTTCAAAAAACAGCACCTTGAACAATAAAGTCCTTCTTCCACTGCTCAAATGCATTATGGAAGGCTCCACTCTCCTCCTCATTTTTAAAATGGATAGTGACTCCCCTTGAAAACAGTTTCTGGTTCAAAAGGAGTAACGTCAAAAGATATAAACATCTGGCAGGACTTTAACAAATCATATGGCAATGCCGCACACAAAAATATAATCAACATGCAAAACAGAAAATTCGCTAAAGTTAAAGTAGATAGATGCTGGTACAAAATGCCGAGTAAAATATTCAAAATGCAAATGCACATAGATAAAGTATTCTGGTTACCTCTGTGCCCGTATCAGAACCTTGAGATATGCAAACTGACTGCACGGGGCCTAACTTGAATAGCTGAGGAGCACAAAAACATACACCAAAATCAAATAAAAAACTTAGTTTTCTCCACAATGAATAATTTAACCGATCATTCAAACAAGATGTCTACATTGCGTTCATGGTCACTGAGAAACAAAAAAGTAAGAAAAATGAATATGTATATATCTATATTTATCTTTATTTATGTACACTTCTTCGAAGGCACACACCACATACAGAGTAAACCGTTCCCTTCGATCAACTATATTGCTCCACTTAAGTGATGCTCGAGATACTTTTTTTTTTCCCTCTGTTTTTATTTTCCTTCACTTTCTCAGCAACCAAACGAAGAACGAAACCAAATATTTTCTAAACTTACAATGCTAAACTAAAAGGTTCACTCTCTGTTCTTTTTTCTACTTCCTTAGCAGCCAACCGAACAATAGTTACAAAACAAAAAAAGCATACTCCAAATAACAGAAGCAAACCTGAGCAGTTTGAAGATCGACATTGACGCGAGCATCGGACTCAGCCTCCTGCTGAAATCCAAGCTCTACAACTCCGTCTTCGGCGCTAAACCGAGCAACCGCAGGCGTCAAAGAAGAAGAAGAAGACGACGACGCAAGCTCAGAAATGGAAGCCAAAGCAAACTCCTGCTGTTTCTGCGCTTCTTCTCCTCTCGAGCCCTCCATTATCGCCTCCTCCAAACTCAATCCGAAAATTTATTTATCAATTTTATTCCCAACAAAAAAAAAAG